TCTCCCTGGTACTGCTGGGAGTTGTAGTTTCCAATCACTGGTAGTATGTAGGGTCCAGAAAGCTGGAGTAGGGTGTGTTGTGCCAGGTTTCGAGTTTCCCAAAGACCACCAAGGAGCTGATTCCGATGCAAAGCACATGAGGGTCTTTATTGCAAGCTCAAGCCTGGGCTCCCTGGGCTCCCAGCGTATCAGCCAAAGTTGAGAGCCCTGAGCTCAGGGAAGGCAGGGTTTTTATTACAGAAGAGGGCAATTTTTGCTCAGCAGTACATTGATTGGTGGTCATTGAGCAAAGTTATCTTGTCTTAACCCGGTTGATCGATCTATGCATGTAAGATGTGATCTTCACTACTCAGCCTGCATACCTTAGGACATCTGGCGTTTTCCTGGCATGCACTGGTTACTTGCCAACTTGCTAATTGGCTGTTGTTATGGGATAAGCAAGGTTAGGACATTTACAGTTAAATTCGGCCTTGGTGCCTTGTTGATAACCAAAATTTAGGCCTGGCTGGTTCAGAAGCATTCTGAAGCCTGTCATGGCGTCAGTTTGGTCTTTCAGCGGGAGTTTGCAGAGTTCCTTTAGGACATCCTTCCCCTTAACAGTAGGACTAAACATCACTAATAATCACATTTGTAGGCAAAGAGCAAGAGAGCTGGGAGCTGGGGTCGAAATCAGAAATCAAGTTGTTCATATGATAATCTTCCATGAAAATATTTCATGCTACTTTTCTCTTATCTCCCTCACCTATAGAGTAGACTATTAAAAGGCCATTTTGTGACTGCGATGCTTTTTCCTCCTCTGGGATATGCCTTAGACTATAATTATTGTGATAATTTCAGCTCTTCTATGCTTAACTCTTGGGCTCTTGGGTCAGGTCACATGACAATTGGAAGTTCACTTTCCTCATCATTAAAATGGGTATAATGACAATAACTGAGCATTAGCATGTGCCAGGCACCATTCTAAGAATTTTGTATGAAGTAAGCTATTTAATCATTATGGCTGGAACATCTTGCAAATAAGAGCAAATGTTTACCCAAGTATTGAGGTCATAGAAACTGTAATTCTCAAAAATGGCTGTGAGAATTAGTAAAGATATTAAATGACTTAGCAAAATACATTTATAAAGAATTACAAGAAGGCCTTGAGATTCAATTTCACTATTTATGTTAAAGATTTTTATAGGCATAATTGTATCTTAGATTATGGTCTTAAGTAATTTCATTTGCCCCTATAGAAATAGACTTTCAGAATCAAAGTGTAACGATCGCTACACGTAGGGAAAAAGAACACATATAAATTTTGGAATACAAATTTTTAAATTAGGCACTTATGTATAGATCTTCAATTGCATAAATGTTCAATTGTAACCCATCCACAAATGGGTTAGAAGACAACCTTCTTCTTCAATATTAGTCTGTTCTCAGACTCAGAAATGCCCCAGGAATTTATACACTCCTCGTTTCTGTGTCTCCACCCATGTGACTGTCATGGAACCCAGACTGGTTACTTGTTATTTAAGTCTGCCCATAACACTGAAGTATTAAGGAGGGAGAGAGCTACCTTTTGAGCTGGGGGAATGAAATTTTGATTTTTAAAGCGAAAGAGGAACCAGAACACTTTAGAGACCTGTGATCTTGTACTCTTTCTAGCTGAGAGGAGTAAGTTTCTGATCACCATTTATCTTTGGGGTCTTCCATAGCTGCCTCCATCAATTCTTATGTTCTGAATGCTCTCTGTCCATCTTGTTGTGGAAAAGAGCCCAACGACATGCATTCTTCCCCCCTTTTTTGGGGAAAACGACTAAGATGTCTCTCAGAGTTCTCCTTAGGAATTTTATCATTAACCCCACAAGGAGAAAAGGTGGAGGTGACAAATAGTGGGAATGTTCAAAAATATATGAGTTCTTAAAAATCTCAGAACAAGTCTTCTGGAATACAAAATGAGCTTTTCTGCTCTCATCCTTGATTTCTCATCTATTCAGCTTTTTTTAATGTTGAGAAACAAGCAAAGTCTAAACTGAAGTTACTGAGAACACCTTCTTGAGTCCTC